TCAAGGCCAGCCTGGTCTACATAGTAAGTTCTAGGACAGCTGGGGCTACAGGGAGACCCTGTCTCAAGAAAGAAAAAGGGGGGAGGGAGGGAGGGAGGGAGGGAAGAAGGGAGGAAATAGGGAGGGAGAAGGGGAAAAATCAAATAGTGAGGCTCAGAACAGAATATATTGTACCATTGATTGGTAGATCTTAAATTTTTATTTATTTCTTTTTAGTTTATGTGTATGAGTGTTAAGCCTACATGTGTGTAAGTGCACCTGTGTCATGCAGTGCCCACAGAGTTCAGAAGAGGGTGTCAGATCACCTGGAACTGGAGTTCCAGATGGTTGTTAGATGTCAGGTGGGTTCTGGGATTCTAACCCAGGTCTTCTGCAAGAATAGCCAGTGCTCTTAATTGCTGAGCCATCTCTCCAGCTCCTGACTGGTAGAGATTAAAGCCATACAGATTAAATCTCTGGAAGAAGAAAGACCTGTGATTGTTCAACTCTATGATCATCCTAGGCCTTCTCAAATCATATTGGCAGAAAGAGTTATACAGTGGTTCAGTCCTCCAAGGGGGCATCTTCCACATTGCCTTCAAGAGGCTATGAGGACCCTTTCCTCTCTATGCTTTCCCACAGTGACGTGAACAGCTTTCCCACAGTGACGTGAACAGCTTCCCCTGCTATATGATCCCACCAAAATACACCAACAAGGCTCAAGCAATACGGCCAAGCCATGACCTGAGACCTTTGATCATAAGCCAAAATAAAGCTTTAATTTTTAAAGTTGATTGCTCCAAGTATTTCATGTTGCTAACATCAAGCTAACACAGGCAGACCTCCATATTGACCAGGGAACACACTACCAGGTCTGGGCCTCATCTGTATTCCTGCCCAGCAGGCTGATACACCTGCCAGGACCTGCTGACATCCTGCCTTCCTTCCACTTTATGATTAGATGGATTGGCATTTGGCTTTAGGCTCCCAGATCATGTGGAACTTCTTCTGGACCTCACCAAAAGAGATTTATATCACTTAGAGAACCCCTACTTTTTCTGAAGAATATACTGAACTCTGAAATCATCAGTCTCTCAATCCAAATATACTTCATTGTAGTTTACAAAACTTTAAAATATTTAATTAATGTCACCTTCCAATGTTCCATTTGACACCTTAATTTTTTTTAAAATTTTGTGTACAAGTGTTATGTCTGCATATAAATGTACCATGTGCATTCAATGCACACAGAAGAGGGCATTGGATACCCTGGAATTGGAGTTACAGAAGGTTGTGAGCTGTGGGTGCTGGGAAATAAACCAGGTCCTCTGCAAGATTAGCAAGTGCTCTTAACTGCAGAGTCATCTCTCCAGCCCTTGATGAGCACCCCCTTTTTTTTGAGGCAGATCAGGTTTCTCTCTCACAGAGATCTGCCTGCCTCAGCCTCCTGAGCGCTGTGATTAAAGGTATGGGCCAACATGCCTTTTTTAAAAAGAGACTTTTATTTTTATTTTTATCCCCTCTCCCATTTTGTGTTTTTTGTTTTGTTTTAGATAGAGTCTATTTAACCCTGGCTATATTTTGTTTTTTAAGATAACAATTTTTTTAAATTATTTGAGAATGCATGCATACAATGTATTTTAATCACTCTTCTGGCAAGCTGTTCTCAGTCCACTTCCCACTCTCCTTCTGAATGTATCCTCTATTTATTTATTTATTTATTTATTTATTTAGAGATAGGGGCTCCCTGAACCACAGCCTTGCTATATAGGCTGAGCTTGCCTTGATCTCAGTGATCTGCCTGCCTCTGCCTCCTGAATGCTAGAATTAAAAACACAGGTCTCTTTCTCTCTCTCTCTCTCTCTCTCTCTCTCTCTCTCTCTCTCTCTCTCTCTCTCTCTCTCTCTCTCTCCCTTTCAATTTGTGCTACCCATATACTCATGGGAATGGGGCCATCCACTGAAGTATGGTCAACCTACCAGGTGCCACACCCTTAAAGAAAACGGAATCTCAGGGCTGGAGAGATGGCTCAAATTAAAAAATAATAAAATTTTAAAAATTCACTTATTATTTCATGTGTATGTGTGTATTGCCTGCATGTACATAAGTGCACCCATGTCCTGCAATGACTGCAGAGGACAGAAGAGGCCGTAGGAGCCCCTGGAACTGGAGTTACAGACAGTTGTTAGCTGCCATGTGGGTGCTGGGATTTGAACCTGGGTTTTCTGCAAGAACAGCCAGTGTTCTTAGCCGCTTAGCCATCTCTCCAGCCCCCCAAAAATAATAAAATACTTCTTTTTTTGTTTTTTGGTCTTTTTGAGACAGGGTCTCCCTGCAGCCCCAGCTGGTCTGGAACTCACTATGTAGACCAGGCTGGCCTTGAACTCACAGAGATCTGCCTGCCTCTGCCTCCCAAGTGCTGGGACCACAGACATGCACCACCATGCCCGGCTATAATAAAATACCTTTTAAAAAGAAAATAAACTCTCCCTCCCCCAGAAGTGTCAACTGCCAATAGTTCCTCAGCTAGGAATGGGGAGCCCCACCCCCTCTGTGCTGCAGTGTACTAGCTTGATGTTGTTCAGGTGTCATGAAGGCAACCACAGCTGCCGTGAGGTCATGAATGCAGCGGTCCTGTCATGTCCACTAGATAGTTGTGTTGCAGTCTTTCCTGACCTTTAGTTCTGAAAATCTTTCTGTCCCCTCTTCTGCAGTGGTCCCTGAGCCTTTAGGGGATAGTTGATACTATCATTTATGGCTGAACACTCCAAAGTGTTCAAAGTTCTCTGCACACTGACCAGTTGTGAGTTTCTGTGTTAACTGCTGTCCATTGTTAAAACTTCTCTGATGAGGTCTGAGAGTTACACTAATCTATGGGTAGAGAGATAAGAATTTAGAGGGCAATTTGTTGTCTGTCCATTTAGCAAAATAACAGTAGTAGGTTTATCCTTGGGGCCTGTGAGCTCCACAATCAGGGGTTATTGGACAGATTTGAAGTATCAGGCATGTGTTTCTTCCTGTGGAGCAGGCCTTATGCCCAATCACAAAGCAGTTGGTTATCCCCATAGCATCCATCCCACTTTTGCACCTATGGGCATGTCTTGTCATGCAGTCATTATTGTGGTTCACATGGTTCACAGCTAAATAAGACTGTTGATGACTTTTCTCCCAGCAGCAACCTGCATAGCTTCTTAGGGGTTGGTGGTTCATACTACAGAGTGGGAAGAGAGCTACAGTCTGCTTGAGCCCAGCTTGGGCTATAGAGCGAGTTCCAGGACAGCCTGGGCTAGTGTGAAACCTTGTCTTCAAAAACAAATCAACAACAAAAATACACAGAAAGAAAGGAAGGAAGGAAGACCTGCCTTGGTGGCATTAGAGAAGCTTTAAAGCACAGAGCCAAGTAAACATGTCCATCATCCCATAATGGAAGCACCCTTAGCTCTGCCATCTTTTGTAATGGCGCCTAAGCAGTTATCAGTTGGGGCCCTGAACTTTTCAAATATTGCCTCTTGGCTTCTTGAACCATGCCATCTCTTTATGAAAAGTCACTGGATTTGGAACAGACTGTATCTACAACATGGCCCTTGACAGCACATGGTGCTAATCTGACCCCACAGGAGGGCTTGTAGCTCAAAGATGTAGTCTCACTTTGTTGGGAAATCAGATGACACTGGAGAAATTTAGAAGAGAATAAACTCTTGGCAAACTGTCTGTCTGCCTCAGACAGTATAGCTAATTCTCTGAAAGCAGCTTTTGCAATGTGCTGTGTTGGTGTGAGGTACTGACTGGGCCTTTACCAGACTCAAAGAATTACCAGAAAGAGCAGGGGTAACAGAGAGCAGTGCTTCTGGGGTCCATGTTCCTTGGTCCTTATGTTCATTCCTTCAGGCCAAGTTTTAATAAAATGGTGTGGTAGCCCTTCTGTAACCCGAGAACTCACCAGGTTCAGGCAAGGGAACTGCCAGTTGAAGGCCACTCTGGGACTAGCTAAACAGGGAGATCTTATTTCAATAAAATGACAACGAATGTAAAAAACAAAAACAAAGGCTTTTCAGGCAGTGAATTTACAGTAGTTATCCCTTCCTTCCATTCCCATGGTAGAGGAAGACTGGACATTAACACTTCATACCTCTTCCCACAAGACTGAAGGTGCCATATATCCTGTCAAATTGGCAAATAGTGATTGCCTCTTTCCTGCAACTTGTGAAACCACTGGACTAGCCAGAATTTCATTTCTCTGAGGAGAAACAAGTGTGATAATCAGAGTTGAGCAAGAGATGGGATATTTCCAGCATTTAGTTTAATAATACTTGAAAAAAAACAAGATGCAACTTGCTACTCCCCCAAACAATACAGATACAAAACCACATTCACATAGACTCTTCAGAATCTGTGGCAACTCAGTGAAAATGAACCCTAACTTTTAAAGGTTAAAGAAAGAACCTTCTTCTTGTGTCTTAACAAGAAGTAAGACAGCTGCAGTAAACTTACAGTAGAGACTTCCATAGTACAGATTCTTAACAGGCACCAACACTGGTAGGTCTGATTTTTTAAAAGTCCTTCTTGTGACACATGCCTTTAGTCCCAGCACTCAGGAGGCAGAGGCAGGCAGATCTCTGTGACTATGAATCCAGCCTGGTCTATGTATGGCATTCCAGGAGCCAACTAGGGCTATACAGGGAGATCCTGTCTCAAAATAAAACCATCTTCTTATGTAAACTTTTGAGGATATTAGCAAAATATTGGTCTTGCCAAAGAGGCTTATATTGTCAGGAAGATTTTAGTAGCAAGTTTCTACATATATCAAATTCTCAAATTATTATTATTATTATTATATTACCATTTTGAGACAAGGTCCCAGCATTAGCCCAAGCTTGTCTTGACTTCACTACATAGCCAAGGATAACCTTAAACTCCTTATCTTCCTGTCTCCATCTCCCAAGTGCTGGGATTACTGGTGTGTGCCACCATGTCAGATATTAATATCAAGGTAGTTTCCTATGTTATGTACCAAGGAGTTAGAAAGCAGGGAAGTTCAAGCAGTGGCTAGTGTAGGGGCTCAGTGAGGTCCTAAAGCATCCTTTCTTTCTCTCCATACTTAACAACAGGAATGGTACCTGTGACCTCTTGCAGTGCTGCTCCAGATTCACTAACAGAAAGACACTGAGATGAAAAACTGTGGCTCTAGACGTCAAATATAAAGAAGGTCCCTTTTTAATAAAAAAGTTGATAAAACTGAAAAAGTAACAAAGATGAAATATGACTGTGAAAAATAACTAAGACAACATTCGGTGCTTACACTTTCTCTTCAGCTGTTAATACTACAGGGCTGGGAATGTAGCTTGTAGTGTGGTAGCCCAGCATGCATGAGGCCCTGGGTTCAATCCCTAGCACTGGGGGGATTGGGGGAGTAAAACATTAGCTCTGCATGTACATATTCTTCCTTCCACCTGACCAATTTTTATAGTGCTTAATTTTTCCCAAAAGCATATTATATTGAATAATCTTTTTAATCTTTAAATACCATTAGACTACTTTTTTGATCATCTGGAGAAAATTTCATTTTGGTGCAATGAAAAATGTCCGTGGAGTGACTTATTTGACTCTTCAGAGGTCACCTGTGGGCCTCGTGGGAATTCATCCTTTTCGACCGAGGTGTAAGCGACTCAAGAGCTCTCTGAATTTCATAACTAAAGAGTAGTTACCCACGTTGTTTGTCCATGCTTCATAAGTCCTTTGAAACCTGTCATAAGCACTTGCTTTTTTCAAGCTGAAATCTGAGTCAGTTGTCTTTAAATTATTGTCCTTTTTCCATATGTCTCTCCAGGACTCTTTGAATTTCCCCAAATAACTTTCTTTTTCAGATTCTTCTTTCCATATTCCTTCTCCTTTCTTGATGGCTGTTAATTCAGCTTTAAGTAAATGTCTGTGAACTTTCCAATAGGTTTTAGAGTCATAATTTAGCCCCTTAACGAGAACAGTCTTTCCCAGGCCTCTTCTCAAAATGTCTTCATTCAGATTAACACTAAAATATCCACCCTTGAATTAAAAAAAAAAAAAAAAGAGACCAATTATTTAAGAAAACAGTTATAACATCTTGTATACCTTAAAGTCACTCATTCAGCAAATTTTATCCTTTATAGAACAGCAAAAACAATTTTTAACACTAAGGTTTTTCAAACTGAGTCCAATGGCACATGTTTGTAATCCCAGCACTTGCTTGTGAAGCCGAGGCTAGAGGCTTAGCAAGACCAGCTTAGACCACAAAGTGAGACCCCTGCTTCAAAACCAACAAAATAAAACACAAAACAAAACAAAGTGCTAGGAAGATACCTTGGCTGGTAAAATGCTAGCTGCATGAGAATGAGGATCTGAATTCAGATCCCCAGTACCCACATAAAAAAGCCATACACACTGCAGGCAGGTCTGCGATTCCATTGCTAGGGAGACAGAGACCAGCAGAGGCAGATCTATGGAGCTCACCAGCGAGCCTGCCTAGCTGAACTGGTGAGGTACAGGCTCAGTGACAGACCCTGCCTCAAAAAATAAGGTTCAGAGTGATTGAGGAAGACACTGTCATGAACTCCAAGCCTAAACACACACACACATACAAGTATGCACATGTGTATACACACAACCCTCCAAATGGAAGGAAGGAAGGAAGGAAGGAAGGAAGGAAGGAAGGAAGGAAGGAAGGAAGGAAGAGAGGGTCCAAGAGCTTAAAATATCTATTGTTAAATTCAAAAATTTTATTAGTAGAAGTGAGTCTTGCTCAGAGTCAACTGATTGTCATTGATCTCTAACCCAAGGAAGTACTGAAGTAATAAAGTATAAAAGATGCAGATTTACTCTGCTGGTTAGTGTGTGAAGGGAAAATGGGGCACACAAGTTTAGCTAGCACAATGACAGCCCACAGCAAAACAAAGTAAAGAAACTAAAAACTAATAGGTAAACAAGTCAGAGGAACTGAAATAGCATTAAGCTGTTAAATTAAGTTCAAATCCTAGTGCATAGAAGGGCACTAGCAGGTTAAGTACATTTTAAAAACACCTCCTCAAAATAAGATAAAAATAATGCCTGCTAGGTATGGTGATGGACACCTTTAATCCCAGTCCTCAAGAGGCAGAAGCAGGGAGATGGCTGTGAGTTCCAGGCCAGTCTGGTCCACACAGGGAGTTCCAGGCCAGCCAGGGTTACACAATGAGACCTTGTCTCAAAAGTTAAATTAAAAAGGTCTTTATCTTGAAAATTCCATTTCTAGAATATCTTACTTCTTAAGAAAATTAATAAATGAATTTTCCCCCCATAGGATTTCACAGAAATATGGCAGAGCCTATTACTATCTCTGTGGTCCATGTGGGAGTTTAATTTGATAAAACCAATTTAAACCCAATATTGACTGCTTCATTTAAAAAGTAAATCGCAAGGCTAGAGAAATATCTCAGCAGTTAAGAGTGCTTACTGCTCTTGCATAGGCCTGGAGTTCAGATCCTAGCACTCACACTGGGCAACCTGTAACTACCTGTACCTCCAGCTCCAAGGGATCCAATGCCCTCTTCTGGTCTCCTTGGGCACCATATGTGTATACATATGTACATAAGGACACACACATACACATAAATAAAAATTAAAACTTTTTGGTTTTTGAGACAGGGTCTTCCTGAAGCCCCAGGTGGCCTGGAACTTGCTACGTGAACCAGGCTATCCTTGGTCTCACAGAGGTCCACCTGCCTCTCCCACCCAAGTGCTGGGATTAAAGGCGTGTGCCACCATGCCTGGTTAAAAATAAATCTTACAAAACAAAACAAAACAAAACAAAACAAAACAGTGTTTGCTGTACAAACATGAAGACCAGAGTTTGGATCCTGACACATAACAAGCCGGGTGTCCTGTAAACACCTGTAACTCTAGCTCAGAGGAATTCAACTGTCTTCTTTGCACATATCATGCATATATATATATATACACACACTCTCATGAACACATACACACAAACTTTTTTAATATTTTATTTATTATTTTTATTTTATGTGTATGAGTGTATTGCCTGCATGTATGTGAGTGTGCCCATATTATACAATGCTGCAGAGGTCAGAAGAGGGCTTCAGATTCCTCTGGAATTGGAGTTAAAGACGGTTCGTAGCTGCCATGTGGGTGCTAGGAATCGAACCCGGGTCCTCTGTCAGTGCTCTTAACCACTGAGCCATCTCTCCAGCCCCACACACAAACTTTTTTAAAAAGCAAATCACAATTAAGGCCTAAAAACAAAGTAAACTTTTTAAAAAGTTTTTAAACAAAATTAGATTTAAAAAAATCATTGTTTCTTTAGTTATAGTAAATTTTGGTTCATAATGATGACGAAGTTGAGAGTTACAAAGGGTTCATCACATTGGTCTCAGTTTTATAAATGTTATAAGCTCATTTCCTTGATCCAAACCAGAACAATTAAATTTCAACCTCACATATTAGTAAAACTCAAGCAGGAGAAGCAATCTGATCACACTATGCACACAACACAGTTTGTTCACCTAGGAAACAATGTAAATACATGTGCTGCAGGTGGGCTTGGGATGGGGGAAGAGCTGAATCTGAATACAGGCTCTTCCTTTTGAGTCTGGCCAAGGCAGTTATCATCCCCAGGAGTCCCACCTGTGAGAGAGAATAAGAGCAACTCCATGGGGTGGTTTGAGTATACATGAAGTAAAATAGGCATGGAATTGACTTTTGGAGTTTCTGAGTGTGAACTGGTCAACACAATAGGAAACTTGATGAGACTGAGCAACATTTACCTTCAGAAAACTCTTGGTCTTTGTAATTTCCAGCTGCCAAGCTTCACTCAACAAACAGTTTCTAGTAACAAATATTATATAATACATTCATGTATATGTAAATGTAGAAAGGTACTCCTTTAACAGTGGCCAAAGTCATTAATAATTTTTCCTTTCTTCATAAATTATTTTTTTTAATTTACTTAAAAATTTTTTATGTGTGTGTGCCTGAGTGTATATATGTGTACGACATGCCTGCAGGTGCCCAGGGAGGGCAAAAGAGTGCATAAGATTCCCTGGAATCTGTAAGCTGTCCAATGCAAGTGTGGGGAACTGAACCTGGGTCCTCTGCAACAGCAGCAAATGCTCTTAACTGAGAGCCATCTCTCCAGCCCCTTTATAAGTTTCTATTTGACTACAATAAAAAGATCTATAAAATTTTACAATGAAATTTATATATGAAATATCTTGTTCTCTCTAATCACCATTAGCCATTTGAAAAATTTGTTATTTATTTAAAGTGCTAATTAAACAAATGTTTACTTATGTTCTTATGTTAAGAATGAAGGTTGTTAGCTACTTCTTCAAACTGCTTACCCTGTTCACTAGAAGGTAGCAAAAGAGCTCTGAATTCTCCTTCCCAAGAAGCTGGAACCACAGTAGTTGGGAAGGTTTTAGTTCTTTCTGTAGCCAGACCCTCCCAGTTTCAGTGAGCTCTACTCCAGCCAGCTTAACCAGCAAAGCTCCACAGGGTTCTTCTAAGAGAGTAAGGTAGATGACTTTAGCTTCCACAGAGCAAATAAATCCAAAGTCATTTGCCGCCAGATCCCAAGCACATGAAAAACTACCCAAGTACATTATGTCATTTAGAAATACTCAAACTCTAAATTTAGTCCCATTTATTATTATACTGTACATTCAATTTTTCTTTTAAAGCAATACAGGTATAGAAGTGAATTATTATTTTTCTTAAAAGAACACTACACTCCCCAGAAGACAAGCAGTTGGTACGACCTCCAGAGCTTCAGCTTCATCTCCCTTTAATTCTCACATTGGCCCACTTTACAAAGAGAACCCAGCCCTGTTTGAATTCAGCCTGCATGTCAATGCCAGACTACAGGGTGGGGAGGCAGCTTCAGGACTCTTCCTCCTTTACCACCAAGACCAGTGTTGAAACTGATGAGAAAGGGAACCAAAGGCTCAAAATGGTTTATATTTATTTCAGTAAGCCCCATAACTGGAGAATTTAGTCAATTTCTCCTTTTGTGACTTTTCATATCGTCTTTACATATGTATGCTAAAGCTACAGACATGTAGCTTAATAACATGGCTGTTACTACTAGTAGAACTAAAGAAACTGCTTTTCATTTTAATGAGGTTGTTAACTAGTTAATGAGGACATCTTTCCACCTAAACAAAAACTGGCTACATCAATATTATTATTACATTAAAATTTATATTTTTTATTTTTATTTTATATGTATGAGTGTTTTGCCTGCACGTGTGTGTTTCATGAGTGCAACCTCCCACAGGGGCCAGAGAGGGTGTCAGATCCCCCGGAACTGGAGTTATGGATGACTGTTAGCCACCATGTGAGTGCTGAGAACAAAACCCTGCAAGAGCAGTCAGTACTCTAAACTGCTGAGCCATCTCTCCAGTCCCCAACGCCCCCATATTTTTTTTGAGACAAGGTCTCACTATATACCCCCAGCTAGCCTGGAACTCACTATGAAAACCAACTCAGTTTGGCCTATGTTCACAATGATCTGCCTGCCTCTGCTTCTCGAATACTGGGATTAAAGGTGTGTGCTACCATGCCAGGCATTGTTATCCATCACCTTTTTTTTTCCCTTTTTAGAGACAGCATAGCCCTGGCTGGCATGTAGACCATGTTGACCTTAAACTCACAGAGATCCACCTGTTTCTGCCTCCAAAGTGCTGGGATTACAGGTATAAGTCACCACACATGGCATTATTGCCTTTTTAAAAATATGTTATCAGGCTGAAGAGATGGCTCAGCGGTTAAGAGCGCTGACTGCTCTAGCTGACGACCCGGGTTCGATTCCCAGCACACACATGGCGGCTACCAACCATCCTTAACTCCAGTTCTGGGGAATCCGAAGCCCTCTTCTGACCTCTGCAGCATTGCATGACACTGGTGCACTCACACACATGCAAGCAATACACTCATACACATAAAATAAAAATAAAAATAATAAATAAAATATTAAAAAAAAAAGACTTCAAAAGTTCAATTCCAGTCAGGGCTTCATAGTGAAAACCTGTCTCAAGAAATTATTTAATTATGTATATATGTGTGTGGTTTGTACACATAAGTATAGTGCCCATGGAGATCAGAAGAAGGCATCATATCCCTTGGAGCTGTAGTTACAGGTAGTTATAAGCTGCCCAAAGAGGGTGCTGGAAACTGAACTCCTACTGAGCAAGAATTAACCACTGAACTATCTTTCCAGTCCCAACCATTTTTTTAAAGACATAGTCAAGTTCTGTAGCACAGGATGGCTCTGAACTCAAGATCTTTCTGCCTTAGCCTCCTAAATGCTTACTATTTTATTAAAACATTTTGGCAACTGACTTCCTGACAGTATTTTATCAGTTTATACTGATGGTAACATAGTACCAAGCTCTATCTATTCACCCTCAAAAACATTTTAATCGATTTTACTTTAATAACAGGATTTTGTTGATTAATTAGTTTGTAGGAGACGGACTCTCACCACATTGCCCAAGGTGGCCTTGAACTGCTTGGGATCATGGAATTCTCCTGCCTTAGCCTTCAAGTATATACCACCCCACCCAGCTCAGGATTTTATTTTGCAAAAGTTTATAACTTTTCATAAATGAGTAAAGAAAATTAATGTCCTTAAAAACAACAACAACAAAACAAAACAAGAGGGCCAGTGAGATGGCTCAGTGGGTACTGTGGTTTGAGTATAGTCAGGTGTTTAAGCACTTGGTCTCCAGCTGTTAGTGTTATTTGGGAAGGTTGTGGAACCTTTGAAATGTGGACTTACTGAAGAGTATATATCCCTGGAAATGGACCTTGAGGTTTTATAGTCTGGCCCCACTTCCTGTTCTGTGTCAGCTTTCTGACTGCTGATACAATGTGACAGGTCAGCTCATGCTCCAAATGGACCACATCACGTTGGAACTGGAAGCCATAAGAACTCTTTTCTCCCTTAAATGTCTCTGGTCAGGAGTTTGTTGCAGCAATGTGTAAAGTAACCTAGACAGAAACTCGTACTGAGAAGTGGGGCCATTGCTGTGATAAACCTGATCATGCAGTTTGTAGGCTTTTGGAACTGGGTTTTGAGAGGGACATGGAAGAGTTTGCAGCTGTAGGCTAAAGAAACTCTAAAATGCTCTAAGCAGAACTTAATGGGCCATCCTGGTGGAACCAGGGAGGAGACCAGAACGCAGAGATATATATGGACATAAGGTTTCAGAGGGGAACAAGAACTCCATTGGGAACTAGACTACAGTCCATTCAGGTTATATTCTGGCAAAGAATTTGGCCAAATTCTGCCCATGTCCTGAGAACTTGCATGAGGTTAAATTAAAATGTAATAGACTGAAGTCTTCTGTGTGGATATTTCAAGACAGAATAGCATTGTGTCTGTGGCATGGCTACTTGTCAGTATTCTTATTCAGATCTACAGAGAGGAAAAGCAAAAGGGAAAGGAAAATGTGAAGCACAGCAAGCTTAAAGTATCCAACAAAGAGAACAGAGACAGCAGAACAGCTGCAGCCATTAAAGAGATTAGCAGATTAGTGCCATGAGAGAGAAACCTCCTGCTCTGCACACAGACAATAAGAAAAGTGCCCAGAGGTAAGAACCCACCCTCAAAGGTTCCAACTCCTGAAAAGGAAAACTCATTTGAAAAAAAAAAAAAAAAAAAAAAGAGCCTAAACTTGGAATGTCAAAGGGGTTTCCTGCTCCTGGAAACAACTGCCTATGGACATGATTCTCCAGGGTCAGCACCCAGAAGCTGATATAGCTGTGATCAAAAGGGACCATCCCACAGTTCAGATGGCAGAAGAATGTGACAGTGCTGTAACTATGTAGTACAGGTTTTGGAAACATGAAAGACGAAAGACTGAGGGGGTCATGGAGAGCAGCTGAGGCCAGGCACTTTGTTGCAGGGTTGCAATCACAGCAGACAAGCCCTGAGAGGCCACATGTGAAGCCATGAAGGTGAAGTTACAGCTGCAATGGAGACCCCCGGATACTGGAAATGCAAGGACAAAGGGACATGGGTCACAGAGGGCTACAGGCATGGAATGGAGCAAGCCTAAGACCAAGATAGAAGCCATGTGTGCTGCAGATGGCAGAGCAGGACATGGCACTGTGGATCTGGTGTTTTCCCTGCTGGATTTCGATTTTGCTTTGGTATGACTGTTTTATACCTTAGTTCTCCTCTTTTGGAAAAAGAATGTTCTTTTTGCCATTATATGCTAGAAGTATGTAATTAAAAATGTTTACAGGAGGTCACACTTAAGAGATGCCTTGAGTCTTAGAAGAGACTTTGAATTTCTGAACAACATTGGGACTATTAAAGACTATGAGGACTTTTGAAGCTGAACTCAATGCATTTTCCATCATGAAAGGACCATGAACCTATGAGGGGGCAGGGATGGAGCATTGCGGTTTGAACATGAAATGTACCCCTACAGGCTCATGTGTATTAGTGCCTGGTTCCTAGACTCACTTAAAAATTAAACTGCAGCTTACCAGAACCTTTGGGATACAGCTAAGACAATTCTAAGAGGAAAATTTATAGCTATATGTGCTTATATTTTAAAAAATCAGGGACTAGATGGGTGTAGTGGTACACGCCTTTAATCCCAGCACTCAGGAGGCAGAGGCAGGAGGATCTCTGTGAGTTCAAGGCCAGCCTGGTCTACATAGTGAGTTCCAGGCCAGCAGGAGCTACAGGGAGATCCTGTCTCAAAAAAGACAACAACAACAACAAAAAGAATTGAGGGCTGGTGAGGTGGCTCAGTGGGTAAATGTGCTTGTTCTGCAAGCCTGATAATCTTAGTTCAATTCTTAGAACCCACATAAAGGTGGAAAGAAAGAACCAACTCAACAGAATTGCCCTCTGACCTCCACACATGCCCCCCCAATGTACACACACTCAATCATAATAAATAAATAATTTTTAAAAAAAGCAATGAATGAGAGGACTGGAGAGATTTAGTGGTGAAGAGCGTTCAGTTCTGAGTACCCACATCAGGTGGCTCACAACTGCCTATAACTCTAGCTTGAGAAGATCTGATGCCCTCTTTGGCCTCTGTGGGCACCTACACCACACACACACACACACACACACACACACACACACACACACGCACACACAAAACTTTTTCAAAATCTTTAAAAAAAAAAAAAAAAAAAGAATGTGATTCAACTGTAATTTAAAACCCCAGAACCAGAAGGACTGATTCCTTGATTCTACCAAGTCTTTAAAGAACACCAGTGCTCCACATACTAAAGTAGAAAAGGAAGAAACACTACCAGATCCATTCTACAAATGAATGAGGCCACATTGCCCTGATATCAAAATTGAACAAGGGGTCCAACACCCCCTTTTGGCTGCTGCAGGCATTGCATGACACAGGTGCTCTTATATACATGCAAGCCAAACACTCACATACATAAAATAAAGATAAATAAAATTTAAAACAGAAAGAAAAAACAGGCTCCCCAATCTAAGATTCTTTCAAGAATCATACATTTTAGGATTGGAGAGATAGCTCAGTGGTTAAGAGCACTGGCTGTTCTTACAGAGGACCCAGGTTTGGTTCTCAGCACCCACATGGTAGCTAACAATCATTTATAACTCCAGTTCAAGGGGATCCAATGCCCTCTTCTGGACTTCACACTGTGCAACACAGTTGCACTTAGATATGTGCAGACATAACACACATACACATAAAGTTAAAAAAAAGAAAGGACCTTTTTATTATCTTATAAGTAGCAGCTAGTTATTAAATAAATAATAACCACAACTACTAGCTAGTCCTACAATTCCTGCACCTTACTTACTTTTCCATGAAGATATAAGAGGTAAAGTAATAGGGATATGTTCAATTTCCAGACCAGTCTCAGTTATCCGGTGCAACCGTCCACGTAGTTTAACATTCTTTCTTATAAATTCTACTGGAATATCTGAAGCGCTTGTAAATTTTGATGTCTGTTGATTTACAAAAAAAAAAAAAAATCATTATTACTTAAAATGAAAAAATGTGAAATTGTTACCTAAACATTTAACAAACAGATATAGCTGTTGAAAATTTTTATTTTGGTTCCTAATTTCATATTAATACTTTAATGTGAGTTAATCAAAAGTGTTTATGTTTATAGAGATATTAGAATTTATCATTCAGTAATTTGTATTTCAAGCTATTGTATAAGAGACATTAAACCTAAATTGTAGCAAATTAAATTAGACTTTTAACTGTCAATAATTTTTAGGTTTTAAAATCCTATAGGAAAAATAAAGCAAACTTTGCTTTTATTTTTTTAAATTTATTTTTTGTGTATGAAAGTTTTGCCTGTGTGAATATGCATGCAATGCTTATGGAGGTCAGAAGAGGGCATCAGATCCCCTGAACGTGGCTAGAGTTAGAGATGGTTGTCAGATGCCTTGTGGGTGCTAGGAACTGAATCTGGGTCCTCTGTAAGAGCAGCCAGTGCTCTTAACCACTGAGCCATCTCTCCAGTTCTAATGTGTATGATTCTTCATAGAATCTTGGATTGGGGAAAATAAAAATAATACAGCACATTTTTTGAAAAATCTGAACGTTAAAATGTATTAGGGCAGAAGTGTTAAAATTTCTGAGATATGTCTATACCAGTGTGGTTATGTGCTAGTCAGCTTTCCATCACTATAACAAAATACTTGAGATAAGTTAAACAAAAAAGATTTATTTTGGTTCATGATTTCAGAGGTTTCAGTCCAAATTCCCCTGGTCTTATCATATGAAGCTTGTGGCAGGGCAAAACATGATGGGAGTGCATGGTATTGCAAAGATGCTCACCTCATTTTTGTCAAGAAACAGAGAGAGAGGAAGGGCCAGAGTCTCAGTTTCCCTTCAAGGGCATATCCCCAGTGATCTGCTTTCAACAATCAGACCCCATCTCCTAAGGTTTCCACAGCGTCTCAATGGTTCCACCAGCTGGGGGCCAAGCCTTCAATACATGTGTGGCTTGGAGGGGGGTGCATTTAAGATCCAAATCCTAATAGACTTAGAGCATTTATCTTTTTTCTTCTTCTTTCTTTTTCTTTTTTCCCAATGCTGATCCCAGGTCTTCACACATGCAAGGCAAGGACTCTATCACTGAACTACATTTAAACCCCTGACTCTCATCCATAGACTCAGTAAGCACAACATAAAATGTCCTGAGCTGGGCATGGTGGCACACACCTGTAATCCCAGAAACAGGAGATCAAGGCAGGAGAATTAGAAGTTTTAAAGTTATCCTCAGCTGTGCAGTGTGTTTCCAGTCAAGCTGAGCTGCATGAGACCATGTCTCAAACAACAAATTGAGTGCTAAAGTTTCATATCTACATTGTTTTCCAATGTTCTCACAGAGGCTGTCATAGGTAGGGCTGTCAACTTGACACATCCTAGAGTCATCTGAGAACATCCTTACTGGGGGACTACCCAGATCATATTAGTCTGCGGCCATGACTGTCTTTGATGTGGGAGGGTCAGCCCACTATGGGTGAAACTATCCCTAGACAGGTGGCCTGGGCTGTATGAGAAAGCTAGCTGAGCAGAAGCCAGAGAGTAAGCCAGTAAGTAGCATTCCTCCATAGTTTCTGCTTCAACTCCTGGTTGAGCACCTGCTCTGACTTTCCCTCAGTGACTGACTGATCCCTGGAAATGTAAGCCAAACAAACCCTTTCCTTTCCTCTTGCTTTTGGTTGTGGTGTTTATCACAGCAACAGAGAGCAAACTAGAACAGAGGGAAAGAGAACAATTTTGGCGATGTTAGTAACTGGTGCAACTGGTCAATCTATGGCTAGGGATGTAGTTCAGTTGTCTAGCATGCCTAAGGCCCTGGGCTTGACCCCCAGCACTGCATAACCTGGCATGGTGGCACACCTGTAATCCTAGTACTCAGGAGGTAGAAGCAGGAAATTCAGAAGTTGAAAGTCACCTTCAGTCATATAGAGAGTTCAAGACAACCTGGGCTACAAGACAGGGAAACGCACACACACACACACACACACACACACACACACACACACACGCCACAGAGAGAGAGAGGTAAATTTTGATAAAAAGTAAATGAGTATCACAACATTTATCAGAAGTTGGGAGATAATGGAAAGATTCAAGATCTAATTTTGTGACAGTTGCACTTCATCATCAGCTTCACTGGATTTAGACTCTCCATGGAAACACATCTTGGGAATGTTTATGAGAGTGCGTCCAGAGGTTTAGCTCAGGAGGGAACAACCATCTTGAATATAGGCACAGTCCTTCCATCATTACTTTCCCAAGATGATGGACTGCACCCTCAAACCGGGAGCTAAAATAAACCCTTTCTTCCTTAAGTTGCTTTTGTCAGGCATTTTTGTCACAGCAAAAGAAGTAACTAATATGATTGTCAATATTCATTTAATAATATGGAATGTCTTGACTGACCTGGTGGTGCATGCCTTAATCCCAGCACACAGAAGGTAGAGAAAGGCTGAGTTCTGTGAGTGTGAGGCCAGCATGACCTACATAGCAAGTCCCAGGCCAGGAATACAGAGTAAGACTCTGTCTCAAAAAAGAAAAGGAAGAAGAGAGAAAGAGAACGAATGTAGAATGTGCAGATTGTGAACAAAAGAGAACTGAAGTCTTAACTACAGAGTTTGAAACACCTGATAAAATTGCTTACAGAAGTTTATGGGGGAAAACAGAGAAACATAATTCAAATATACTTCTAGTCAGATACCTCTCCACATCATCTGGTGACATCACTAGGGGAACATCACTGAAACTAATGTGAATGGGAGGGATGCTCTGGCCCAGAACTTCTCTCATTTAACATGATCACCAGTAATTTGAATAATAGTATAGAGCTGGAATACCAGAATGTCCAGGTGCTTGGGAGGGTTAGTATTCAAAAATATGCTGAGATTAAAGGTGTGTGCCACCATGCATGTGATGCATGTGATTCCAGCACCAAGAAGGTAGATTTGGGAGGATCAGGAATTCAAGGCTAACCTCAGCTACACGGCAAGTTTAAGGCCAGCCTGGGATACATGAGAGCCTGCCTCAAAACAAAGACAAAAACCAAAACATGTTGAAGACAGCTAAGTGATGACCATCAACAGATAGATAAGCAAATCTAAGGACAGAAATGCTAATATATGCATAAAAGATAGACACTGAGAACATCACGCTAAGTAAAACAAGCCAGTCACAAAAAGTACAGTCTGAGTTCATTTATAAGATGTCCCCACAAGAGATATGGATAAAAATATGGTTATTTGCCGGGCGTGGTGGTGCACGCCTTTAATCCCAGCACTCGGGAGGCAGAGGCAGGCGGATCTCTGTGAGTTCCAGGCCAGCCTGGTCTCCATAGTGAATCCAGGACAGCTGGGGCTATAGGGAGACCCTGTCTAGAAAAGACAAAAAAAAAAAAAAAAAAAAAAAGGGGTTATTTAAATGGGAGGGGGGAGGGAGGGTTATACAAGGAACCTTGGGGATAAAAAGAAAGAAGGAGCTCAAGAGGTGGGACCATAGGAGAAGGGTATTATTAAGGGAGAAATGGGAAAAATGAGGGCACTTTAAATGAGGAAACCATGGCAAGTGAGAGATAAATAATGCCTAGCTAGTTTTAAAAAACCAGAGGGAACCATATTAGTCCAACAACTTACTGACAAATTATACACACATCTAATTCAAGGAACAAAGTGTATGTCTAGTCAAGGTTTATCTGAGAATGTTTGGTGTTTGTCCAAGCTTTGTCTACATGGCACATGGTAATTAAAAGTACCAGACTGGTGGAACTAACCTTCTTGGATGTTTAACAGCCATACTTTGAAACCTATACTAATCTGGTCATAGGGACTAAAAGGACAGTTTTTGCTCCTTGCCCTCCTAGGTCGACCAGTTCCAGGGGACTATGAGCATCTCTCAAAATGTCCTGTAATTGAGGTGGATCACCTGTCCTCTTGATCAAGGAGGCCAAGAAGACCCCACCAGATGGGCTTGAGCCAGTGTCCAGTCTATAAAGAGGAGGGTCAACACAAAGGAATTCTCCATGCTTCCAAGTGAAGCCAGACACGGTCGAAGGACCTTTGACTTATCTTCACATAGATGGAACTTGTAAAAGAAAGGAGCACTCATACACATAAACTAAAAATGACAAATACTTTAAAAAAAAAAAAAAACAGTGAAAATAAATTGGTTCCTCTGAGCCAACTCTATGCTCTTAAACACCCGATAGGAAAGTATAACCAGAGATGAAAGTGACCCGTATGATTCTAGAAGAGTCCGTTTGTATCACTAAAGGCCACGTAACAAGAAACAATGCCAGACAGGAGATAACCATCATTTGAGTTACTGGCCAGGGTGGCTCAAGAGACTCCCAGATAGTAACCCAGCATCAAACTGGGAAAATGAACAGCAGACCCCAATCTTATCTAAAGGAATGTTGGCAACTGATTGCTGCTAGATGAGAAAGAGCTGATCTTCCTAAAACAAGGAACTCTAGATAGACTGACTAGATTCAGCGGATGGACAAGCACTGGGGAGTGGCTGTGGGCACTGACACAGTGGACAGTAAAAGGGATGACAGAGTATATTGGCACCAGTGGGGGGGCATTGGGAGGGGTGCCATTTGGGATGCGGATATAAAGATGAATAAGATTGTTTGGGGTGTTCTGTATGAAATTCACACAAAAAATCAATAATATGTAGTAATTAAAAATTTACTTCATGTTAAATAGTAGAGGTGATAAACATTACCAGTGAAATCTACCTGATGACTTTATATCCATACTCACAAACTAAGGATCGGAATATAACCGACTGTCACTAGTAATAATCAGATACATAGAGATTCAAGACACATGTGCAAACATCTAAGTGTTAGTGGCATTAAAAATGTAGGAAACAGCATATCTTAAAATGATATGATCTTCTTTAAAGGGTAAAAACTCATTCAGTTTTATATCTTACAGGGTTTACACTGAGTTCAATATTGTATGACTGTATTAATTCAACAGTGAACCTAAAAATTTACAGCCACCTTTGAAAGAGATGTATCCTTGCTCTGGAGTGTGTTACTGAATATGTTAAAGCTGTAATGAAATGCTTCTTCTAATTATGTGGTTATTAAATTTTAAAAAAAGAATAATAAAAAGAGATTGCCAGGGGCTGGGGTAAGGGGAATAGGAATTATTGTTTAATGGTTATGGAGCTGCAATTCTGCAGGATCAAAGATCTGGATGTAGATGGTGGTGATTGTGACACAATACTACAGACACACTCCACAGCACGGAACTTTATATACACTTAAGAGTGGTTATGAAGGTAAGTGTTTTTAAATTAAAAATGTATTTTTTATTACTCTGTGTGTGTGAGCATGCACACAAACACATGCCACAGTGTGGCTGTGGAAGTCAGAGGACAACATGGTGGCATCGTTCTCTCTTGCCATCTTTACTTGGGTTCTAGGGATTGAACTTGGGTCATCAGGCTTGTACAGCAAATGCTTTTACCGAATAAGCCATCTCATTGTCCCCAAGATGATCACTTTTTCTTAATTAAAACAATTTTTTTTCGTTTTTTTTGTTTGTTTGTTTGTTTTTGAGACAGGGTCTCTCTGTAGCCCCAGCTGGCTTGGAATTCACTACAATAAGGAGGCTCTAAGATGATAAGTTTTTTAAATTACCACAATAACAAATCTAGAAAACAATTGTAAATCTTGACTGAGCAATGAATTCCACTATGTTTTCCCTAGGCCTCTCATTAAAATAGTATTGAGCCAGGAGTGGTAGTGCACACCTTTAATCCCAGCACTTGGGAGGCAGAGGCAGGCAGATCTCTGTGAGATCAAGGTCAGCCTGGTCTACATAGTGAGTTCCAGGCCAGCTGGGGTTACAGAGAGACCCTGTCTCAAAAAACAAACAAGTACAGACTGGAGAGATGGCTCAGCAGTTAAGAGCACTGGCTGCTCTTGCAGAGGACCAGGGTTAGATTCCCAGCACCCACATGGCAGCTGACAACTGTCTGTGACTCCAGTTCCAGGGGATCTGATGCCCTCTCCTGACCTCTGTGGACACTGCATGACACTGGTTCACTTACATACATGCAGGCAATACACTCATACACATAAAATAAAAATAATAAATAAAAATATATTTTTTAAAAACACAGAAAAAAGAATTATCGAAAGCAGCAGAACAAAAAGTATGGTCACTTTTGAAAGTATACGGTACTCAGTGCTAAGAGACATGATGAAACTGTGATCTGCATGCACCATAGAAAACACCTAAAACAGGCATGAACAACTCACATCTGTGAAACCGGCACTTGGGAGGCAGAGGCAGGAGGATTGCGACAAATTCAACTCCTATATAGTCTCAAAACAACAAAACCCCCGCTGGTATGTGATTGGAGCCGGAGGCAGGCAGTCTGTGATGCTGCAGGATCTGTGACCAGTGCATCTGAAGTGGTGAACTAACAGCTCAAGTCTGCTGTACGAAAGTGGCCCCCAATAAAACTACACTCCAAAAACGGGGACAGGAGCAGGATGGAGACAGTACAAACACTGAAGAGGCAGAAAGGATGAGGCCGATGTGGAAGGAGTAGAAAATGGACACTGCTCATATTTGGGAGTCCGAAGAAATTTAGATTGTCTACAGCGAATTGAAGCATTTCTTAAAGTTTCCATACACAGACCAGGCTGGCCTGGAACTTGCAGCGACCCTCCCCTCTCAGCCTCCTAATGTTGGGATCACAGGCATGTATCACCATGTCCAGCTTACATTATTTATACACACACTTGTACATATAAAATCTAGGTCTTAGTTTTTTTAATTACTAGTGTGAAAAAGGACATTCTAATGAAAATCAAATTTGATATGCTAATTTTGAAAATACTGAGAGAATTGTTAGGATTTTGCTTTTTGAGTCAGGGACTCATTATGTAGCCCCAGCTGGCTTGAACTCATTGTGTAGACCAAGCTGGCCTTGCTCTCACAGAGTCCACCTGCCTCTGCCTCTTGAATGCTGGAATAAAAGATCTGTGCTACTATGCCCAGTATGTTAGAAATTTTTTGGTTTTTTGTTTTTCCTCAACAGCACTGGTTACTTTGAGCAAATAGCATGATGGCTTTGGGGCTGGAGAGATGGCTCAGAGGTTAAGAGCAGTGTCTGCTCTTGCAGAGGACTTGGGTTATGTTCCCAGCAACCACAGGGCAGCTAACAGCTGTCCTTGGCTCCAGTTCCAGGGGATTTGATGCCCTCTTCTGGACTCTTCCGGCATTGCATGACACCGGTGTGCTTGCTGCACGCAGGCAAGACACTCAACAAATAAACAAACAAATAAATAAAATACCTTTGTAGTTGTTTCTTTTACCAGAAGAGTATCTGATACTATGGTATATATACTCTGCATGGGAAAACAGCTTTTTCTAAGTGTTGGGAAACTTTCCTGGTCATTATTCATTTAGCTTATTAAAATTTTTTAAATTTATATTTATATTATGTTGTGTTTGTGTGGTGGGGGGATCTATTCTCTCTTTCCACCTTTACCCAGGGTCCGGGATCAAACTTACACACAAGCACTCTTGCCCACTGAGCCATTTCACTGACCTCAGAACTTATACATGCAGACAAAACACTCATACACATAAATATAAAAATATTTTTAAGAATATTTATTTTTTATTTTATGTATATGAGTATATTGCCTACATGTATGTGAGTGCAGCCATGTTGTGCAATGCCACAGAGGTCAGAAGAGGGCTTTGAATTCCCCTGGAACTGGAGTTAAGGATTGTTCATAGCCTCCATGTGAGTGCTGGGAATCGAACCCAGGTCCTCTGCAAGAGCAGTCAGTGCTCTTAAATGCTGAGCCATCTCTCCAGCCCCAAATAAAAATATTTTTAAGAACTTCTTTTTAACTTGTGAGAAACTAAAAAGAAACTAGGCACCATGAGTGCTCACTCACACAAACAATCCTACATAATGTGCTCACAAAATAGTTTCTACTTGTTCCAATGAAGTGAATTATACAGAAGATGAAAAAATTTAAGAGGAACACTATACCCATTTTGCTATGTACTCAACTATAAAATATACTTTAAGTAATGATATATATACATATTCATATACATATGTACATAAAAGGTTTTTTTCTGAGCAAAACCTTGCCCAAAACAAAACAAAACAAAACAAAACAAC